ATTTGTTATCTTATTGCTTAATTTTTTGAGTTCTTTGTATACTCTGGATATTAGGGCTCTATCTGAAGAGTGAGGAGTAAAAATTTGTTCCCATGATGTAGGCTCCGTATTTACCTCTCTTATTGTTTCTCTTGCTGAGAAAATAAACTTTTTAGTTTAAGTAAGCCCCATTTGTTGATTCTTGTTATTAACTCTTGTGCTATGGATGTCCTATTAAGAAATTTGGAGCCCAACCCCACAGTCTGTAGGTTGGACCCAACTTTTTATTCTATCAGACGCAGAGTCTCTGATTTGATATCAAGCTCCTTGATCCATTTTGAGTTAACTTTTGTGCATGGCGAGAGAAAGGGATTCAGTTTCATTTCGTTGCATATGGATTTCCAGTTTTCCCAGCACCATTTGTTGAAGATGCTATCCTTCCTCCATTGCATGTTTTTAGCCCCTTTATCAAATAGAAGATAGTTGTAACTTTGTGGATTAGTCTCTGTGTCCTCTATTCTGTACCATTGGTCCACCCGCCTGTTTTGGTACCAGTACCATGCTGTTTTTGTTACTATTGCTCTGTAGTATAATTTGAAATCTGGTATCGCTGTACCGCCTGATTCACACTTCCTGCTTAGAGTTGCTTTTGCTATTCTGGGTCTTTTATTTTTCCATATGAATTTCGTGATTGCTTTATCTATTTCTACAAGAAATGCCATTTGGATTTTGATTGGCATTGCATTGAACCTATAGAGAACTTTTGGTAATATCGCCATTTTGATGATGTTAGTTCTGCCTATCCATGAACAGGGTATATTTTTCCATCTTCTAAGATCTTCTTCTATTTCTCTCTTTAGGGTTTTGTAGTTTTCATTGTATAAGTCTTTCACCTCTTTTGTTAGGTTGATTCCCAAGTATTTTATTTTTTTTTTTGAGGATATTGTGAATGGGGTGTTTTTCCTCATTTTCATTTCAGAAGTTTTGTTGCTGATATACAGGAATGCCTTTGATTTATGCATGTTGATTTTATATCCTGCCACTTTGCTGAATTCATTTATTAATTCTAGTAGTTTCTTTGTAGACCCTTTTGGGTCTTCTACAGAAGACAATTAGCAATTATTTTGAAACCCTATATTCCGATAAAATAGAAGATAGTGAAGACATTGATAAATTTCTTAAGTCATATGATTTGCCCAGACTGAATCAGGAGGATACACACAATTTGAACAGACCAATATCAATGGATGAAATAGAAGAAGCAATCAAAGGACTACCAACCAAGAAAAGCCCAGGACCGGATGGGTATACAGCGGAGTTTTACAAAACCTTTAAAGAAGAATTAAAACCAATACTTTTCAAGTTATTTCAGGAAATAGAAAAAGAGGGAGCCCTTCCAAATTCATTCTATGAGGCCAACATCACCCTGATTCCGAAACCAGACAAAGACACTTCAAAGAAAGAAAACTACAGACCAATACCTCTAATGAACCTAGATGCAAAAATCCTCAATAAAATTCTGGCGAATCGGATACAAAAACACATCAAAAAAATTGTGCACCATTATCAAGTAGGATTCATCCCTGGGATGCAAGGATGGTTCAATATATGGAAATCAATAAATAAATGTTATTCACCACATCAATAGACTCAAAAATAAGAACCATATGATCATCTTGATAGACGCAGAAAAAGCATTCGACAAAGTACAGCATCCCTTCATGTTCAAAACACTAGAAAAACTAGGGATAACAGGAACTTACCTCAACATTGTAAAAGCTATCTATGCTAAGCCTCAGGCTAGCATCATTCTGAATGGAGAAAAATTGAAGGCATTCCCTCTAAGATCTGGAACAAGACAGGGATGCCCTCTATCACCACTTCTATTCAATATAGTCCTCGAAACACTGGCCAGAGCAATTAGACAGACGAAAGAAATTAAAGGCATAAAAATAGGAAAAGAAGAACTTAAATTATCACTATTTGAAGATGACATGATTATAAACCAATTTATTTAAAAAACAATTATTCCACACTTGTATAAATTTGTTGAAATGAATTATGCTATCATATATAACTAAAAAGAACAAATAAAAAAGAAATAAGAAAAAATTAGCTCAAATCTATGATGACTTGAAGACTAAATGAAGAAAAAACTATAAATCAAAACCAGAAATCAAAAAGGAGTTGTTCTTTACAAAAGAAAAATTGTATTAACTATTACACCAAATGATATATAGATAGAGAAATATTTGATGGCATCTCAGAAAGAAATTGCTATAAATTCAGATGATAAATCTTATTGAAGTAAAATATTATTAATAACTCTTGCATTTTTGTTGTCTTAAATCTGATGTCTTCTTCACCAAAATTTGTGATTTTTATTATTACCAAGACAACCAGTACGTGCATGCATCTTCAATGTTGAGAGTTGTAAGCGACTTTACATTAGTATTATCAAAAAGAACACTGTGGACTTTTCACAGCTTTGGATTCTTTGGACCATATTAAAAAATTGACAGTCATTTGAATTCATTTTATACTTGAAACATCTGAGAGTCCTGTGTGTGTGTGTGTGTGTGTGTGTGTACTGGGGATTGAACCCAAGGTTGCTTAACCACTGAGCCATATCCCAACCTCTTTTCAAATTTTATTTAGAGACATGGTCTTTCTAAATTGCTTAGGTCCTTTCTAATTTGATGAAGCTGGTTTTGAATTTGTGAACCTCCTGCCTCAACCTGTTGAGCTGTTGGAATGACAGGTGTTAGTCATCCATCCAGCTCATTTAACAGTCTTGATATAAAACTTACTTATTTTATTCATATCTATGTCTCTCTTCTGCTAATGAAGGGGCATATTATCATTTTTTTTCTATTTTTACATGCACAAGAAAACTTAGAATTTAATATGAATGAAAATGTTTTCAAAATTATTTAACCTAAAAGAAGATTTATGTATCAAAGTAAAATATGAATCAGCATTTGCAATTTCTAATGGCAGGTCATCGTCTTTGGAAGCAGTTTTCTTAGAACTTTGACTGTGTTTGAAGTAGAGGTTGATATTTGGTAAAATTTTGTCTTTTAATTTACATGAGGCCACTTATCTTGGATAAAAATATAATATTGTCCTGATGAATAATAACATCATTGATTTCCTGTGTAATCTATGTACTTACCATCTACTTTCTTTTGGTAGTAGAAATTCAGTATATATATATATATATATATATATATATATATATATATGCTGAATTTAGAACGAGTTTTTCTTTTTTGCCCATTTCTAAATAATATTTAAAGAGGAAAGGTGCTATCTAAAATGAAATAAAAGTTGCAGATTTTAACAATACAATACATCCCCTAACCACTGAAGCAAGACCATTTAGATTATTCTTTATATGCTCTGAAGCAGCATCAGCTTGGTGCTCATTCATACTTCATCCATCTAACCTGTTACTCTCAAGTTTCCCACTACCTCCACCTACTGGTGGTTTGGTATATATCGCTGCATCTTTCCTGGAGTGGAGCTTGCCTTACTAGTTAGTATAACTAGGTTAGAATAACAATGGAACTCCAGTGGGTCATTTGTTTAAATCTGTAGGTTGTCCTATTCATTGTATATGAGTGTAATTTGTTTTCCAAGTGATCCCTCTACATGCTGTCTTTGAACAAAAAGTGATCTATTTTGTTCAGGAAGGTTAATAAAGAGGGATGCCTGTCAATTTTCAACTTCAACAATTGAGTCAAGTCCAAAGGTGTTATTGTATATGCATCTTGTATTCTTCCAAATGAATGAATCCATGGCAAAAGTAAAGTGGAAGTTCTTTAAACCTACTGCAACTTGTGCCAATGAAATTTTTATTGATTATAAATAAAATGTAAAATTTTGGAAAAATTATCAAATGGGACTAAATATTAAAACAAAATCATAAACCAAGACACAGAGTGATCCTGTGGGTAAAGATCCACATCACCTGAACCCCCAAAAGGTTGTCACCTGACCCCTAAAGGGTTTTCCTTGACATAAATGATAAAACAAGTTGGGACATCACTGATGGCTCAAGTGTTACCAACTGTCTAGATATTCTTCAGAATGCTGCAACAATAGAATATTTACCTTGTTTTTGAAGAGGTTTTTTTTCAAACAAAACAACTAGAAAAAAAAATGGGAGTTCATCAAATTTGTAAAATGGATTATATGGAAAATGTTTGGCTTATTGTCTTAAAAAGTCTTAGAATATGTTAAAGATTTCATTTAGAAACTGGATTTTTAATCTGGCAGTAAGGCTAGCAGAATTGAAGCCCTTGCTGAATCTAACTCACTATCATCTAACTTCTTTTTGGATACCTTCATTACAATTTCCCATGCATTTTAGAACATATTTTTTGTGAGTAATCTTTCTTCCAAAATTAAGTGACAGAGACAATTTAATACTCCTTGCAAATTATAACCATTTAAATATTGGAGTTTTAACTCTCTACATAGTAATAAGCCAGGTATGAGTTTGTTGTTTTGAAATTGTGTGCCTTCATCTCTCATGTAAAAATATTAAGAGTGAATATAAAAGATGAAAAAAAATCTTTTGAATCAAAAAAATAATTATACTCTTTAAAGTTTAAAATGTTAAATGATAAGTAGAAGATACAGGAAAACCCAGACGCATATTTAGAAAGAGTTTTAAAGGAAAAGAAAATACTAACACGATAGAAAGATATAACATAATTTTATTTAAACTTACAACACTTTTTACTTTGTAAAATTTATATAACTAGGAGGTCCATGAAGAAAGAATTACGCTTCAATGATTGCATGCCTATCTAAAATTTTTTTAAAAAGAACTTTTAACTTCTATCTCCAAAGAATACTTTTCCCAATTAGTGGAATTCAAGTTATTACTAATTCATGGGGGTAAATGTAGAAGCAGATTTTTAGGCTGATGACAGAATATATGGGAGATCAAAAAAACAGCATGGATCTTAAGATAGTAAGGTTTTAAATTTCTCTTCACCTAATATATATGATTAGTAGAAGCCAGATCCACAGGGCAGTTGGTAAGAAGCAGACTGGCAACTTCTAGAGGAGAAATAGGAGGGATGGTAAAAGTTAGATCCATAATTTAGAGATGAGAATGTGTGAGGAGCACAACCCACTGACTGGAACCCTCTGGATCCAAAGCCACAACCAACAGACTGAAAGCCCCTGGACCCGAAGCCCAGGGATCCGGAGAAAGTTGTGTGGCAGGGACTGCAGAATGTGGAGGACCTCTGGCGGTAGCAGGACGTCTGGCAGGGCTTGGACACCCCACAGGATGTCTGGCAGCTGGTGGGATCACAGCAGGTCTCCTGACAGCCACTGGAGAGAGAGGAGCCCAGCTGGTGGGTGACGGGAGTTTGTAAAACAGGGCAGTAGAACGCGCTGCTGGGGCAGGAAGAGCCGCAGGAGCTGTCCTGTTGTTGCAGGTAGCCCCCAAAGGAGCGGGAGGAGTAGCTTCCAGAACAGCAGTTGGAGGACATGTTGACAGGAGATAGAACTTTAGATGACAAGGTTCTCAGCTGGAATGCCACTTCTTGGACTGGCACATTTATATACCCTTTTCATTGGGTGTGGTGTCAACCCCATGGTTCATGAAAACAAGTTACCTGCAGGTTTTAATTGAACTGTGGTTTTACAACTGTAAAGTGCAGTCATGTCTGTGGCCTTGGACTGCAGGTAATAGTGTTGAACTTCAAAGCTATTATTCATCTTCCCTTAGCAAAGGTCGCCCTGAAGATCACTCAGAGAAGTGCTTTAGAGGTAGACAGTATCTGGGTTGGGGAAGCTGGCTTAATTAAAAATAATTGCAACCCATTTCACAATCAGAATTGTTGACACCCAACTAGCAATGTTGTTAAGTAACCTATTCATAGTTATGTCTTTTGAACAACAGCATAGGTTTATTGTAGTGCACAGTGTCAAGCTTACTAAATGAAAGTTGTCATCAGAAAGCAGCTATACTGATATGCAGAATGTGTAAGATTTTTTTAAAAATCAGACTTCAAATTGAAAGGCTTTAGTTAACTATTTACTGAAAGATTCCCTGGATTCCCAGCTTCTGCTTGAAACTGTGGACCATTCAGAGCTAAAAGCCAATCTTAGTTGTTTCTTTTCTTTTTGCATATGTGTGTTTACTGTGATGTCAGCCTAATAGCACACATAAGTTGCTTTATGGTATTTTGAAATGTTAGAGATTATTCATCTAAATTACTGAAAAAAGCATTAAAAATAAGAACAAATCATGAGACCAAAATGCCCAATGCATTTCTATCTCTAATCAGAGTCACTGTTCCACTAAAAGGATTTCTCAGAATCTGGAAAATATTCTTGTTCTAAAGAAAATATAAAATAATTGTTAGACCAAAGAAACCATCTTAAGGAGATTCTTCCTTTGCCTCAGAAAGCAACATACATCAATTTGATTTAAATTGTTTCCAGGTGTTTCTGACAAGGATTACAACATTTCTAAAAGAAGGGCCATATTTCTTCTCCTTCCATGACTTGTGATCCTTGTCTATGTAAGACTCTAATGAAGACTGATACCTGAAAGAATAAGAGAGATGGAGAAGGTTTATCTTGCTGTGGCTTATGAGCTGTTTGATTTGTTTGTTTCATAGAAAAGTTTTTCCTTTCCACTTCTTAATTCCGAACAAAAGTGTTTGGATGCAAAAGCATCCTTTTTTTTTTTGAGAAACGAATGCTCAAAATTACTTAATATCTGATCTCACAGAATATTTTTTCTACAGCAATATCCTATATAAAATCAGATAACATTGAAGCAAGCAAGCAAATTCAATTAAGATCAGTTAAATATTTATGTGGGATTTTGATGTTCAATATTTTATTGACAAATGAAGCAGATTTGGAAACTACTAAAATGCTTCTTTCAATTCATAATTAAGAGGCCTACTAAATAAAAATTGTTTATTTTACAAACAGTGGACAAGCTATGTTATCTAATAAATGAAACCATTGTGTCAACTCAAACTGTTCAGACCCATAAAGTCCACATTTCAGAAGAAAGTTTGGCAAAAATCTCCATATTCTTATTAGACTGGAATTTTATTGACTATATTCTGATTGCAAATTCCCAGGACACTCAAGATAGAAATCTCATTAGTTGCAATAGCAGATAACTTTAAATTTTTTCTTAAAATGTCCACCTAGTAACCCTAATTCTTCATAGAATCAGCTCATTGTGATTAGAAAATATTATTAGTTTTGAAGATAGGTATCCTAAGATGTTTTACCATTCCCACAGGCTATACACTATCTTTATTTACATTTAGCTTTGGTGAACTTTATGAAAGAGTCCAGAAAAATCCTCAGGCTACCAAGTCCTATAAGATAAACATTGATGACTTGATGGATGTATTACATCAGAGATCCCTCCCCCAACCATATTTCAATTCATGAAGATCATTTGTAACTATGAATTTTTCAAATCCCTGATACTTCTGTGAAATCTATGCAGGATGGAAACATTTGGCATTTCTCATTTTCTTAATCCTTCATAGTAAAACTTTTACATTGTGAGGGGAAAAAGAGTAAAGTTCTATACTTTTTGTATAGTGCTCATTATTTTCTTCTCAATACATCAGTGACACCAAAACATATTACTTAAACATTGTACAAGTGGAGAGTTTTATATAACCAAGTTTATGAAGTTCACTAATGACTTCAATCAAGAGACAAATGAAAGAGTTGGGGATATAGTTTACTGGTAGGCTTAGCATATACAAGGCCCTGGGTTAATTCCTCAGCATCACACACGCACACACAGAAAAAAAAAAATAATTAACCTTCAAAGTATTCATTAAAACTTGGACCCATGGATCTAAATATTCACATAGACAAAAGTAATTTCACTATTTGTATTATAAGAAAACTAAACCTGAATTTATTATCTATTTATTTATTATCTATTCATTTAGCATTATTACCAGTTAAGGTTAGTGGGTTTCTTCTTTCATAATTTCCACAAGATTTGGGAGAAAGACCATTACTTTTTTCTATTCTCCATTAAGTTCCCAAACTTGAAGCAGTATAATTGTCTCCCTTATACTACAAAGCATCTTTGCTATTTTTGCTATGTTATCCATTTTACTTAGTATCTTGAAGAACAGGATGAATAAAGTCCCAGTCTTATAGATAGAATCATGGTGGTTTTCATGAGAAATTACATTTTTGTTTCATGAACAACTGCTTTGAAAAACTAATGGTATCGTTTCATTTAAAAGTTTGTATTCATATAAAGATCTTTGAAGATTGATGTATTTCATTTTTTATTGGAGCCTAATTAAATATTCTTATTAAAATAGGCACATGCTACACCCACTTCCAGGGTATATAAGTACCCAGTGTCGAAGGTGACATTTACCTGAGACTCCTCACTGCAGCTCTCCTGAACTCAGAACTCCTGACAAAATGTCTTACAACTGTGGCTCTGGAAGATTCTCCTCCCAATCTCTTGGAGATTACCTGAGGTACCCAGTTTCCCAGTATAACTCCTTCTACCCCAGTGATGTAGCCTACTTTCCAGGAACCTACCAGCTGGGCTCCTCTTTCTATGGTGGCCATCAGGAGTCTTACTCTGAGCCCATCAGCTATGAAACATCCTGCCCTGGAACCAGATCCTACCAGACATCTAGTTATTGCCCAAAGAACTTCATTTTCTCCAGTCCCTGCCAAGCGAATTACTCTGGATCTCTTGGATATGGTAGCGCCGGCCATGGATCTTTTGGATTTGGAAGCACTGGGTTCCAGTCTGTGGGATGTGGGTCCAGCTTCCACCGTCCAGCTTACTTCCCTTCCAGGAGTTTCCAGTCGACTTGTTTCCGCCCAGCCATTGGCTCTCACTATTTTGGATCATCCTGCTGAATATTCCTGATCCTCTCATGATTATTTCTGCACTTTATGGAACTTTAACTTTCCACTTGTCCCATACCTGTGATTGCTGACCATTTTCACCACTAGGATTCACCATCACAGTCTCCCGGAAGTAAATAATTTACTGTGGACTAAGCAATTTGGGTCTATGATCTTTCCTAAATTTGACATGAGATTGATCTTGAATTTTAATTTTTATGCCAATGCTTAGAATCAATGCTGTTGCCATCTTTCTGAAATTCTTCTCTCATTTATTTTCCCTCCATACAGTGATTCTTCATTAGACTATTTTATTTAAAATTAAAAAAAATTCTCTAACATGAATTCTGGCATTCCATTGTCTTGTATTAATATGATACATTTATTTAATACACCCCATACCTTCAACCATCTTTAGTTTTTGTTTTCCCGGTTTCATGTTTCATTAATATTTTTGGACATGAAAAGAGGAGTTTTCAGAGAAAATTCAAATATATGACACAACTATGTCATCTATCTCATATATTAAGAGATTTATGTCTTCTCATGAGTTCAGGTGTTCTTATAATTGCATCAGAAATTTTGCTTCCAGAGGGGCTTTCATTGACAAGAGTATGTATTGAGCTGCTTTGTACAACAGACATTGTTCTGAACAAAGACACAAAATATCTGCCTTCAAGAAACTCACACAAATAAAATTCTAACTTAACATCATGTGACAAGTCAATAATGGGGAGAAAACAAAGGATTCAGTGGAAACACAAGGAAGAACTTCAGAGAGTCTGAGAAAATCACAAAAAGTCCATTATTTAAAACAAAAAAGCTCAAGGTAATACTCATTTAAATAATATAAATATCACTGATGTATTGTGTTCTTTGAAAAGCAGACACCAAATGGGATTAGACAGGAAAGGGATTTGTTATTAAAAATATTTGTGAGGGAAAATAGGAAGTTATTTGGGGAGGTCTGGGAGAGCCATCTTGCTTTGATGTATGTCTGGTGGAAAGGAAGGAAAAAGGGAAGAAACGAGGCTGGGTTAGAAGCAACTTTAAGAAAATCTTAGGAAGTCACCCATCAAAGGATTCCCAAATCTTACTAAAACATTCTATCCATAGGTCCCCTGCAAGGCTCATTCACAGACCAAGAACAGAGAGCACCAGCATGACTTTGGCACAAACACAGTTGGCTATCAATCAATAATACTACCTGAAATAGAAGATATCAGAAACTGATTTTCATAACTTTTATGTTCATTATATTTATTCTGATTTTAAGTAAGCTAATTCACTGATGAACTATGGTGAAATGATATTATATTTTTCATTTTTTTTCTTTTTTTAATCAAAAGCCAATCAAGTCAGGGCCCACTAAATGAAAGTCTATCACTACAATTAAATAGAAGAGAGAACTGAGAATTATTATATAGTTATCTTTAATATAAACTAATATATTAAGCAGAACGAACACAGTAGGACAAAATTAGGAAATGGCTTCATTTTTCTAACACCACTGAACTTCATTCTTGATCTGATGGCTTTAACTTCTGTGAAATCTGAATGATACAATGAAAAGATCTATGGTCATTAGGATACCAATAAATATTTTATTTCATATTAGTAACTCAACCCAGTCCACTATGAGTTAAACAACAATCTTAGAGCCACATCAAATCTTCTTCTTCTTGCTGATCTGGCCTGCCCTGGGGTCCTACAGATCACTGGTGATCTGGAGGAGGTTGATTATTTTTTTCTAAATAAAATTACCTTTTTTTTTTTACTCTACCTTGTCATCTTTGGTTATCCTCCCTTCTTCTTTTGAAATAAAAGGAAAGAATTAGAGGAAATGAAATAACCCTTGAGGCCACCATCTCTATATCATTCTTCAGACCACCTGTGCCAACATCACTTTGTAGTTCAGTTATGCAAACTTTTTGCTTGGAAAAGATTAAGATTGTACCAATCAGTCAACATTTCAATAGGTGCTTCAGAAAATTCCTACTGGCTGATTTATTGGAAATAATAGTCTGCAAACCTGTATAAACATCTCCCTAATTAAGCAACAGTTTGTGTATCAAAAGACTTATTTCAAGTCCCTCTCTTTGCCATACTCCCTGCCCAAGTTCTAAAGGATCATATAATAAATTCCAATTAGTTTTCTGCAGTGAAAGACATACCGTAAACCATCTGAATCCAGAATCTCATTTCTGTTTGTAGATTCAGCATGCTATGATTGCATTCTTTCTTATTATAATAAGTTTGAACACTGTATGTTGCCTTATTAACAGATTTCTAGCAATGTTATATGCTGCTCAGTAGGGACATAAAGGTCTTTACAATTCACCAGTGCCTGCCTTTCCTGTTAAATATTCTGTTATCACATGTTTCAGACTATGTGTTTTTACCTCCACTCCCATATACTGAACTCTTAATCTCAACTTTGATAAATATAGAGATGGGACCTTTGAAACATGATTAGTTTTTATTGGAGTCCTCAAATTATTAATCTCAATTAATGTACAGGGACAAAAGACACAAGAGAGCTTGCTTCGCCTTTCTCCAGTCTCTATCACATAAGGATTTAGAGAGAACATCCCCATCTGCGAACCAAAATAAAGAACCATACTCAGGAACTAAATTGACTAGTGCCTTGATTTTACACTTCCCTATCTCCATCATTTTGAGAAATACATCTGAGTAATTTGAGCCACCTGGTCTATGATAACAGTTGGATCGGACTAATATTTCATTTACACCTGAATACTCTTTCTCTAGTGGAGACTTTGGTGTTGAAAGATATCTCTCTATCTCTATCCCCTCTCTTTCTCTCTGTTTCTGTCTTCCTATTGTTTTCTCCTCGTTTTATGTATTTCTGTTGGTCTATCTATCTATCTATCTATCTATCTATCTATCCATCCATCCATCCATCCTCCATAAAGAAAATTCAAGACATTAACTCACATGATTACAGGGACTGACAGGTTGAAAACTCAGGTATGGTTGCTGTTATGTAGTCTCAAAATCAAATATTCTTCTCTGAGAAATGCTGTGTTCTTAATGGTTTAGTGATGGGTTGAGTCATACCCCCAATATCAAGGGTTGTGAATGTGTACCACATCTACAAAAGGCATCCAAAGCAACACCAAGGTTAGCATGTGACCAAATAACAAAACACCATGGTCCAGCCAAGTTGACACATAAAGTTAAACATCTAAGTTTCCATTTTATAGAAAATTTGTGCTAACAATTTCATAAAAAACATGACATATTACAGCACAAGACTTAAAGTGAGAGTAGATCAAATATTTCACTTGTAAGTAATATTTGTATCGGTTTGCAAAATTATTTTCCTAGCTTTTTAATAAAGATTATTTATTTAAATTCTTATTTATAATTTGTACAAAATATTTCTAGCTTTGCTTTACTGTTGGCCACTTGAATAACTAAACTTCAATAAAATATCTCTGCATATCCAAAAATCCATCACCGTCCTTCCAGACAGTTTCTTACTTTCTCCAGTGCAGCTCTGCCCAGAACACAGCTCGGGCACAGCCTTATGTCTACAAGACTTATCAGGACCTAGGGCAGTGTCTACAGAATTTATTTCTACATTTTTTTTTAGTTGTTGATGGACCTTTATGTTATTCATTTACTTGTATGTGGTGCTGAGAACTGAACCCAGTGCCTCTCACACGTGAGGTAAGTGTTTTTTTTTTTTTTTTTCCCCACTGAGCCACAACCCCAGCCATCTACAATTGTTTTTAACCTATGTGACCTTCTTATGCTATTTTTGACAATTCTATTTTTCATTTTTATTTCATTCCTGTGCTACTTTTTTGGCCTACCTTTTTCCTTTTATCATTATCTATTTTTCTACTTCATCTCTTGCACTTTAGTCAATATTTTTTTCTCTTTGCAGTTCCATAGATTTTAGTATTATTGCTATTTGGGTCTGGTATGTCTTCATTAGGTTTGGGCTACTCTGTATAATATAAGATGATTAGCAACATTCTCTGGCCTCTTACCACTAGATGCTAGTAGCAACTCCCAATTGTGACAATGAAAAACATCTATCTCCAGATTTTGCCAAATACCTTCTGCAGGCAAAATTACTCCCTAATAGAACTGTTGGTTTAGATGGGTATCCAAAGTTGTAGGATAGTTCTTTACTGTGGACACACACTGCAACTGGGATAGGATAGGACAGCAATACAATACAATATTATTCCATGCATGAATGAGGTAGTATGACTGGCTATTGAAAAGAGGTATTTGTTCTTCATAAATCTAAAATAATTGAGAACTACTTGCATGACAAATGTTATTCCACGATTGCACATGAACATAGTAGTTGTGACTATGTTTACATTAAAAAGATTTCCTTTCCATTGTAATTATAGAACTATAAAGACACTTTGTGATGAGATATTCAGTTCTTAAATTTCTAATTCTTCTCTTGGGATCATATCTGCTCATGATCATCATAGAATATGAAGCGTTAGTAATATTTGGATTATCTTCTCAGTATATTTTTTAAGATTAATTGAGGAAATTCTAATTTACAGGTCTTTCTCTGTTTCTTGGGTCTTCTCACAACTTTCTTCATTGGTTTGACTTGTTCTATATATTCTACAACAGAGATGCCAGTGCTGTTGAGTATATAACTAGCAGTGGTGGCACAGACCCCTAACTATGCTTTTTCATTCTACAGTTTGTATCTGGCATCTCAGGCTTTGCCCTTTAATTTTCTAAACATCTGATTCAGACCATCATAATACTTTACTATGAACTTCTTGAGCTGTTTCTGTCAAATATTTCATGCTAACAAGCACCAAGTCAAAGGAGTCATATTTCAGATTCCAGAAAGCAAATTCATTTAATCAAATACTCATTATCCTGCTAGAGGCTGAAAGATGCAATTAAAAATAACATAATACAGTTGAAACACAGATGTCATCAGTATTACAAACTAACTATAATTTTAGTGAGAATGATAGTGATGGTTAGTTTGGGAT